TTCAAAAAGTTTTAAAACGGAATTAGGATTTGCTGTAGGTTTTGCCTTTGCCTTTGAAATTCTTCAATCAGTTTACTTTAAGCTACTTTATTCACAAGAACCGTTTTTCTTTGTGGTATGGCTGAGTTAAATCAAACCATAGTTGACCCTCTCACAAACTTTCGGATACCTTAGGGATTATTATTTTTAGGGATTTTGAGGAAGTATTGAGGTATAAAGTTTAGGTTGAGAGTGTATTACAAGTGAACCAGGCTTCTTTTGGCCGCACCTTGTGTTTTGCTCTCTATTTCCTTGAAAATATATTTTATCAGTAAACTAAAGAGACGAAGAGGGTTTTCGAGATATTTATAAAAGCTTTTACGGTATCAAGTATTAATATGCAGCTGTATAACAAACAGGTGAACAGTGCATTGCGCACGTACTGCATGATTGGTCAGCTCGCAAGTGATTAGCGAGTACGTACTATTAACATCCGTAGAGACATAATTATTGTTAAAAGCTTCATTCTGACCGTTTTTTCGGTGTATTGATAAAAATAAACTTCAATTTTGGTTCCTTATTCTGTGAATCATTATTGAAAGTTTTTCTCTTAGAATTTCCTCAGGATATTATAATGATTTCATGTGTTTTTCTTTTCTTTTTTTTTTTTTTGCGAACAGGTTTAGTCATAAAAACTGCTGCCAAGATTCAAGGTAACAATTTAATGGGAGATATAATTTGGTAACTTTTCCTATCCTTTTTAGGGTTTGTGATCTCGTTCATTATGGCAAATCTTAGGGATTACATCGGAGTAAACCAATTCAGAAGGTATTGTTACTTTGGGAACGTATAGCTTGGATATATGAATTATATGGTTTGTATCATTCAAAAGGCCTTTCTAACTTGAAAGGAAACAATTTACCCCAACTCTAAATCACTTCTTTTTCGCTTCTGACGTAAACAACCCGATAATTAGATAGAGAAATGATTTAGATCAGAACAATGAAGCGAAGTTGATAGTCTCCTACAACAAAAGAAAGAACGTGATTCTTGTCTAAACAAGCAAATTCGTTTATTCTTCAACAACTGCGTTGAGGTCTCAACACGTTTTGGATATTATATGTGGATATACAAATGTCGCTCGCAGAACTTTTCAAGTATGTCGCTTGCAGAACTTTCTAAGGATGCCTTTTGAAGAGTTTCTTCAGAAATCTGTGAAGTTTAGGCGACCTATAGATAATTATCCATGGGTTTATACTGGAATTGAGAACTACAAAAGTTGCGGCAAAAGGATGAACTATTTTAACGACATAGTTAAAAATGCCAGCAGTTAATAAAATATTTATCATCATTAATGGTATATAACTCACTAACACAGCTCCGATCACCAGGAACATAGTATTTGCGCTTTTGAATTCTTGTTGAGCGCGTCGTTGAGTTACAGCTTGTAGCTGACGTGTAATTTGTCTTTTGTGGCGTCGAGATATGCAGAAAATCCTTGTATAACAGAAAATTATGATAAGCAAAACAGAGGCTAGAAAGATGACCATTAGGATCTTGGAGATAATTATTAACGACAGGTTAAAACGTAATAAGGGAATTACGGCACTTATCGACCAGGTGATAATTATAGCCATGTTAACTCTTGTTTCTGTAACGATGGTCTGATATCGTAAGGATTCCACGATGCAGATGTATCGGTCCACTGTCATCATGGTTAAGTTCAGGCAGGATGATTGAAACAAAAAGGAACCGAAATAGAGAAGAAAGATTGGAGGGATGGGCACGATGGATGCACAACGTTCTTTCGAGAGAGCACACAGCCCATGTAGTGGCTGAGCCAAGAGTCCAATCAGTAGATCTGATGCACTGAGAGACATCAGAAGTAGATTGGATGGAATATGACGAAGCTGCGGAAATCTTAAGATGACTGCCATTAATAGGATGCTTCCAGAAATACTCAAGAAAGGCAGAACTAAAGTAAAAACTGCTCCAAAGTGGGCGAGAGGAACGCTGTACTTACGGACGTTTTGCCAGCTGGGGCCTTTGTAAAGATAGGGGGCAATTGATGTCAATGTGTCATTGGCCTGAGAGATGTTTTCCATGATTCTGCCTCGACGATAGAGCAACCTGTACAACAACCTTTCGTCCTGTGTGATCAGTTTATGTAATGTCTACCTCGCTTGAAAGAAACGCGTTATAAGTGTTGCACATATGTAGAGTTCCCACTATAACAACATCTTTGTCTGAACAAGACAAAGAACTGCGTTACAGGATTCAAAATGGCGGAACGGTACTTGTTCATAAAGACAGTCAGTACTTAAAAGTGAATTTTTAATAGTCTAGGCTGTACTATTAATTACAATTTTGCAGAGGATATTTCATGGCTGCGCGTGAACACGAATTTCATCTTCGAAGTTTGATGAAACCAAAGAATCCCCTCTCTTTTCGTGAACTGTCACGTTTTTAAATTTTAAGGTTTTTTAAATTTCGTAATAAGTGAATTAAACTTTCATTCAAACGTGATTCATGATCATCACTTCAATTTTGTTTTGTGCTCACAAACACAATTTTTGTCTCTAATGTGACTTGCACACGAACTGTCTAATTCAGCGAAATTCGTTGATTTTCTCGTTCAACATGGATTTTTTTTCAGGCAGTTTTCTCGGAGTTTCAGGGGGTTCTGAATTCTTCAGTATTTATTTTCTGCATTGCGAGTTAAGCAAGCGTCAAGGCGAAAAAGGCGTTTTCCTTGTTAAGAACAGCCTGTTCTGTTTGCACCACTGATTCAGACCAAACGATACTGAGTTTTTGACCGATCAGGGCGCTTATAGTATCTCAAAAAATAAGTTATAATTGACCAACTTGTTAGAAAAATGATGGTTATTTACTATGATGTTTAAAGTTAGGTAAAGAAAACTTGAAAAATTGAATTTGGGACATAGGTAACAAAGTAAACAGCACAGGTGCATAATAAATGAAGTCGTTTACTTGGCTTATTCGCGAGCGATATTATGTCAACGTAAAAGTCAATTCCACATCCACTTGCGAACATGTAACATTCTGCTTGTCATACAAACATCAGTAAAATTTATATTATTATAAATAACAGAGGTACATCTGCCCTGATTGGTCAAAAACCTATCGCTTATCGCTCCGGTAATCTCACAGAAAATTGAAGTTTACGTTATGAAGAAAATAGAACACACTTTCCATCGGTTTATTCGCATAATAACCCACTTGGGATGTTGGGAGAACACAAGAAAAGTTTGTGAATGGCTCGCCTTCGGCAGGTGATTTTCAGACTTTTCTCGTGTTTTCTCATGAATTTTAAAAAAGTAAAGATATTGAAGAGAAACGTAATAAACCATTCGATACCAAAGAAATGTGATAACTTTTAAACACAAAATATAGTAAATTTTTTTCTAACGCTTAATGTAATTATGAAGAATGTAATTCTGCTACTAACGTATGATGTGCTAGCACAAAATGTGATACAGGGCGCTAAGTGGAGTCAAAAAGTACTAGATTAGAGGGCTACGGCAAACTTTTTTGAGGGGAAAAAGTTTGGGACCTTGATTACAGACCGCTTAATACGGTGTGGCTTAGTACAGGTTCGACTGTATTTTTTCATTTCCCAGACTGCTTTTTTTACGCGCCTTACCCCTCGCAGTTCCTATGGTGATGAGCTTAGTACTTTCCTTACTTTTTGCTTTTTTGCTGTTTTTTTTTTCGAATGAGTACAATCAAACAAAGGTGTGGGCATGTAAGTAACAGCGTGTTTTGAGGGAAATTTGAAATTTGGTGTTAATTAATGTCCAGTTAACACTGTAGAAGCTTAAAAAATGTTAGGATTGAAGAAAATTCACTCCTTACACTTACACAATTCATTCAAAAAGTTTTAAAACGGAATTAGGATTTGCTGTAGGTTTTGCCTTTGCCTTCGAAATTCTTCAATCAGTTTACTTCAAGCTACTTTATTCACGAGAACCGTTTTTGTTGATCAACTACTGAGCAGCACTGCGCGAACGAAAATAATATTGACTTGTTTTCAGTTTCTGCCCGTTTTGTCTGACAATGGCAGAATTCATCAGGAAGTTTTAACAGATAGGGCAAATAAGTTGCCGATAGACCAATCGTAAATAATGTATCTATTTTTAACCTATACGCATAGTATGATGCACGTGGTAAATAATTTGCAAGGTGTACTTCAGTTGACAAGATAATAAACTTGCATGATATTTTTCGGACGTTATAGGTACGAGTAGATAATGTGTTTGGGGGCCACAGATTTATTACTAAATCTGTTTCAAAGCTACGCTTCACAGAGTGCTGCTTACTTGTTAGAAAAGTTATTACATCTTGCGTTGAAAAGTGATCTATTCACTAACCTTTACATTCATGCTCAGTTGTAATAAAGTATGGGAAAAATGATTGATTAGCGGACTAAGCCTGACCAATCATGAGACTGCTCAACAAGCCACGAAATACACATTATTAAACGCATTTCAACTTAGTCATTACATTTTGCGATACGATGAATGCTTAAAGTTTACTACATTTTGCGGCGATATCATTATATTTTGCATTAGCATTAAACTTGGCGTCGAGACTATTACCTTTGCAGCGATTGTTATTAAATTTTGCGATCAATACTACATTTTGTGTCAGTATTACATTTGATAGGTAAACAGGCCTTGCCTTTGCTCTGAAAAGGACGCAAAGAAGCAGCTAAAGCACGAAAGAAGTGTAGGGGGGAAACACGAGAGGTAGTCGATTGTTTCTTTCCAATTCTAGGGTGCTTTAGCCGCTTCCGAGGTGCCTTACAACAGAACAGAGCACAATCAAAGCTTCATTATTTGTCTTATGAAAGAGAATCCGTCAAATTCCCCTCACATTTCTTTTTTAGTTTCTAAAAAAATTATAATTTCAGAGGCGAAAAAAAGTGTCGTCAGCTTGTTTTACACTCGTAAAACATGCTAAGATATGGTTCAATAAACTGATCGGTTGAATAAGACCAAGGTTGTCAAAACTTTCCAATCATCAAAGTTCAAAAACCAATAGTTCGCAGACTGAAATAGTTCATCAGGTCGAATTCGCTACCATTGCTTATATTTTTGTAGTCTTAATACAGAATCTGAAAGGGAAATGCTCAGTGAAATCCGGCCGAATTGTTGCACATAAAAACACCTAAGTTATTTTACATAAAAAGTAGAAAACAAACTGCGTAAGGCGTCTGTTTAATAGATGAAAATTGAATGAATGTACATTGATGAAACAAGCTCTTTCAACCAATTACAGCGCGCATTATATCCGAACTTTACAAATATTTGCTAAGATTATTACATTTTGCGTCAGTATTACATTCTGTGATACACTTTGCGTCAGTGAAGCTGTGGTAATGTGATAACTGTGATAATTGTAATCAAGAAGATGTTCCTCACAATACTCGGGGAAGGCAATACGAAAGACAAAACTGCTCCAAAGACGGCAAACGAAACGCTTTGCTCACGGACGGTTTGCCAACAGGGGCCATAATCGGAATAGTTTAAAAATAATGCGCTCGAATCTGGAGAAGAGCTTGCCATCATACGAACTTGAAGACAGATAAAAAAAAAATTCCCGAAGTACCACTCAATGAAAATTTTTTATTGTTCATAAAACAAAAAACTGCACTGCTGGACTCAAGAAGGGATGGGCCTTTTTTTTGAAGATTAGCATTGTGTTAAAACTCTGTAAATGTACTTTCATTCACATCAAAGCCTTTAAAATTTAGATTTCTAGATTAATACAGAATCTGAAAGGGAAATGTTCAATGAAATCCGGTGCAATGCTCTACCAACTGAGCTTACAAGTCAACGTAACAAGTAATATTTATAATGCCCAGCTCTCAACTAATCCAACCTTCGAGCAAAACTAGAAAAGCGTTTCTCCATGGTACAATGTTGGACGGGACTAAAGCATCTCAACTATCACTAACAAATTGCACATCTTTCACGTCCGGAAAGACACAGACGCTACATTGCTTTGGCTTTTATTCTGCTCCACCATCTTGTTCTTGATGGATTTGAATTCTGCTCTTAAATCTCCAAGTCGTCTTTTCAAAAGGTCATTTTCCTTTCGAAGAGTTTTAATTTTATGTTTATCCTTGTCTGTTATATTTGTGTGATTGGCATGTTGTTGTAATAATAATTTTTTGACTCAGAACTTAAATGTTTGCACTCTCTGAAGCGTGCGCTCGTTACCAATCAGTGCTCGGTGTCTCTTTCGAAACGTAGCTTTCTCGAAGCACCTGCACATAAGAACGTGCACCTTTATATCGCCAAGCTTTTTAAGAGTCACATTTAAACAGCCTTTTCGGAAAACTGCGAAGTTTTCTCGATCTGAAAAATACTATCCATGAATTAACACTGGAATTAAGAAGGAAAAAAGTTGTGGCAAAAGGATGGATCATTTTAACATAATCGCTAGTGATGCCAGCAGCTAAAAAAAGCTTTATCATAATCAGTGGTATATAACTCACTGACACTACTCCAATCATAAGGAAAACAGTTTTTGCACTTTTGAAGTCTTGCTTTATGGTTCCTTGAGTTACAGCCTGTAGCTGATCCGAAATTTGTCTCTTGTGGCGTCGAGATATGCAAAAAATCCTTGCATAACAGAAAATTATGATAAACAATAGAGAGGATATAAAGATTATCTGGAGAAAAATTGTGACCACCATAAACGAACGAAATAAATGCGTTACGGGCAATACAACACTAATTGACCAGCTGATAAAAATGGTGAGACAAACTTTGCCTTCTGTAACGATGGTCTGATATCGTAAGGATTCCACGATGCAGATGTATCGGTCCACAGTCATCATGGTCAAGTTCAGGCAGGACGAGTAAAACAAAAAGGAACCGAAATAGAGAAGAAAAATTGGAGGGATAGGCACGATGGATGCACAACTTTCTGTTGAGAGGGCACACAGCCCGAGCAGCGGCTGAGCCAAGAGTCCAATTAGTAAGTCTGAGGCACCAAGTGATATCAGAAGTAGATTGGATGGGACATGACGGAGCTGTGGGAATCTTAAGATGACTGCAACCAACAGGATGCTCCCTGCGATACTCAGGGAAGATAATACGAAAGACAAAACTGCTCCAAAGACGGCCAACGAAACGCTTTCCTCGCGGACGGTTTGCCAACTGGGGCCGTAATCGGAATAGTTTGAAAATGATGCGCTCGAATCTAGAGAAGAGCTTGCCATCATACGAACTTGAAGATAGATGAAAAACAATTTTCGCGGAACACCATCATATGAATATTTTTTTCTCATAACGGATGTCCCTTAAACAAAGAACTGCACAGCTGGACTTAAAAAGGAATGGGTTATTTTTTTTGGAAGATTTAGCACTGAGTCAAAACTCTGTGGATGTACTTTCATTCAAATCTAAGCCTTTATAATTTCAATTGAAAATACCATCTTTCTCGTGGTAGAAGGTTTCTGTCATTCAGCGAGATTGGACAGAAAAGTAATATTATTAATTGCGTAATCATCCTTTAACTGAAACGGGTTTCTTTATATTTTCCGTCATAAAAGCAGCCTGATTAAGATCCGGACTTATTTACGTAACAATTTTCCTTACACGTTCTGGTGGATAATGCCGTATTCTTACGCCGAATTAATATTTAATCAAAAAGGTGTTGGATTTTGAATTTTGTACGAAACACAGCCGGAAAGCTACCTGGACTTTTGACAAATAGATGAGGTAAGTTCCCATAAAAAAATGTTTCCATCCGAAAAAAAAAGATCCAATTCAACCTTGGTAGGGTTTATAAATAAATGAAATGTTAATCTTCGTTATTTCGCTATGATGATAAACGAAGTTACTTTGGTTACATTGTAATCTTTACTTATGAAGATAAAGTGGTATTTTCATTGCGTGTCGTGAGGATACAACGTTCATGAAATATGTAAAATTCGAATTAAATGTGACTGGTTGAGAAAATGGCGCGCGATTACTGGACCGATTACGTATCAAAATAAAGCAATACCAAGGCAGTCCAATTGCAATCACGGGTTACTTTCCACACTCAATGAAAAATTGCGCTTGCTCGAAGGAAAAATAAGCTCTACAAAGCTATGGTACCTTGCAGCAATGTGTAACGGCGTCTCCCCCGAACCATTTGTGATGGTAGCTCCCGCTCGGTACTTCATCAAAATGATTGACGCGTCCTGCGTTTGAAAAAAAACAGATATCAATGACATTTCCGTTTTTCGCTTGGTCATTTTACCCTCCCTACAAAGTGTTATGTGACGACCTAGTCACATCACAAGTAGACTATTGCTATTTTGTCATTAAATGAATGCTACTAAAAAACATTTTAATATATTTGTACGCCATTGGCCAGAACTGGAAAATGGAACGAAACCTATTAAACGAATTAATGGGGTAACTGAAGCTTCTAAAATATCAGACAAAAAAATTTCGTGTGAAGTGCTGGGAATAGAAATCTGATCCAGTCTCCCATTTCACAAAGAAAACACAACCAAAAATTCAAATCCGCCTAAATTAAATGATAAAACTTTTTCCACTCACACCTGCCGCCAAAACGATTAAACACAGGATGTGATTTCAGTCTTTTCAAAATTTGTCGTTTTTGGTGGACAATCTATCCGGATTAATGGGGATGATAAGCATGCAGTTGCGTCTTCTAATTTCCTTCGGCTAAAGTGGATGGGACCTCAGTTGAAAATTTCTCTAATTGCCCCCGCAGGGTTTTTGGCCCCAGAGGGCCAAAAACCCGAGGAGGCACCTTAGGACTCCCCGCGTAATATAGAGGAAGACTGGAGAAGAGGGAATGTGGGTATTTTCGGTAGATCATAACCAGAAAAAATCTCGATTTGATCGCTTGCACGGCCGCAAGGTATCAACGTTTTTCCCGCAAATGGTCATGGGCTGCAGTAAAAAGACACGCGCGCGAGGACTTTTAGGATCGGCGTCTTTGACACGAGATTTGTCCTAGTATAGAGGAAGACTGGAGAAGAGAGAATGTAGGTGTTTTCGGTTGATCGTAACCAAAAAAAATCTCGATTTCGATTTTTGATTTGATTGATGATGGTACTGTAGGGCGTGGGCGGCTCTGGTGAGAACTATAACTAGTTATAAATAGCCTGAGCAAAACTACCCACAAATCTCTCACCTTAACACATCCTTTACACGCAGCATAGTGAAGAGGGGTGTTTCCAAGTCGGTCCTTGGCTCGGATGAGTGCACTCGCTTTAACATCCTGGTGAAGCAAATATCTGGTTTTGAATACTTATCCAAAGTGTATTTTAGAGAAATATGGCGATAAAAGTGCCCACTCTAATTAAATTTCTTCAGTCCTATTTGAATACTGTAGCCTAAGATGCGATTTATAACGTGGCCATGAGCCTTGGGGGAAAAAAGCATCTCAAGAACTCCTCTCTCGAGGACTTCTATCTCCTAAAATTTACTGAAAAACCAAGATGTAAATAAAATGTGATGAATTAGTGCTTACTTTGAGGATTTCCTTGACAATATCAGAGCTTCCAATAGCGTAGTGTAAAACTGTTTTATTTTCGGAGTCTCTGACGTCCACATTAGCTCCGTGTTCAAGAAGAACTTTGGCGGTCTCAAAACAATTACACTGTGCCGCTAACATCACAGGTGTGCGGCGTTCGTGGTCTGTTGCATTGATTTGATCCATATCCTACACAATAAACAAAACATATTATTACATATACTGAAGACAGGAGTTACTGCCACAAGATCGCGATCGTTCCCTTACGCCTCCCCCAAACCTGCTCTGCTCTTGCTTTCTCTCCCGCGCTTCTACCACTTCAAAAACCCAGGATGGAACAACGTCTTAATGAAATTATACTGACTGCTTGTTCGAGAGCACGGCTACATGATAAACTGTAATTTATGGGGCCTTTGCTATAGTATTTTCTGTCAACAATAATTTGTTCAGGCAGTCCTTTCTTTCTCCTTAGGACGAAGCAAATCAAGGAATCCCCGGTATATCTAGTTGTGATACCGCGACTTCCGCTAATATTTCCTGTGAAAACAACGCAGCTTTTCTTAATAAGCGTACCTGCTTGAGGAGGTAAGAGATTACTTCTGAATGGTTTGACTGAGCAGCCCTGTGAGAATATAATTAGGTCAGTTACATGGCGAATAATTTTCAGACAATATGCTGGAGTCAAACTAAAACTTCAGCTGCGGAGATGTAGTTTTCTAAACGAAAAAATCAATCTATGATCTCTCTAAACGAAAGACCATAGTTCTGACAGCATTAACAAGCAAATAATAAAACGAAAACTTTCTTCATAAAAGTTAAAAACGGAGACGCGAATATCAAGTTGCACAAGCCTCTTATTTCGCTTAAAAGGGTGAGGACAGCGCAACATAGAATTTGTTGGGTTTACCACTCTACCACTGAGCCATCATAAACCCACGGGCGGGGGGGGGAAAGGAGGAGGGGTAGGTGGTGCTAAACTTGCACTTAAATCTAATACAATGTTAAAATATGCTGGATGTAACTGGATAACTTCCGCATTTTATTGCAGCACAGCCTGCGAAAACGTTTGTTTCAAAAAGGCCTTTACACTCTCCCTTCCCCCCTCCCCCCCCGTAGCTACTTCGCCTGCTGCCAAAATATTCAACGTAATGTGAATCTGTAACAGGTACCTAAAGACGCTTAAAGTCTTTTTGCCAATCTATCTACTCAGGAAAACATTCTCCGAGGGGTAAATTTATCAGTGTGTCACCCAAGAATCGTTTGCAGATTTGGATGAACTAACGCTTACGGCATGACTGACGAACACTTAAGGCGAGAGTGCTTACTTGTGAATGGGCAACATTCCATCTTGATCAGGAGGCGGATCCAGTATGAATGCCACAGCCTTCATCAAAATATCAAGGATGTCCATGTACCCGTATGAGGAAGCTAAATGAACTGGCGTACTGCCATCAGATGACTGCATAGAGAAACATATACAAAGTAAGAGTCGAGATAAATTCTGCACAGATCAAAATTATTTGAATAAGAATTATTGTTATCTATTGCGGTATTATTCAGTTTCGTATAATTAGCTGAATTATGCAGCATTTTGATTGGTTTTTTACTGATGATCTATTAGAGAACAGATGAAGTCACTCGTAGATGAAGTCACTTATCATATTTTTTTGCTCCTTTTTATATCAAACAATAGTTTCTATGTTGCCATTCATAAAATGGATCATGAAACACGTCAAAATGTGGAAAGAGCATCAGTAAAACATTTAGCTGCGCCTCGTGTGCCAATTTTTTATTCTTACAAAAGTTTGACAAATCTCTGATCTATAACTGAACAGACGCACGTCAACAGGCAATCTATTTGTTAAAACATGTAGTTAAAGAACTAATAAGAAATTTCCACCATACAATCAAGTATGAATGTATCGCACCAACAGTAACAACAAAAACCTTGATAATTAATTACGACTTTTTTTCTTTTAAATCTCAAACGCCGCCTGTGTTTTTAACTGACCTTCATTGCGATTGGCCGTCGTTCAACAACACTTATTCAAAAAGCATTCTGATAATATACCTATAGTAAATAAAAATTTTACCTTCACTGCATTTGGTCCTGCTCCTTCTTCAAGACAAAGCTCGACAACCTGTAATGAAAATAAATGAGTTATCAAAGCCTGAGAAGCTCTTTGGCTCTTCAGCTAAAGAATCTGCGCGTTATTATGGGTAAAACTTCAGCTAATTACCACAGTTTGTTGGTAGCAGGGTTTGATAAACTCTCTTTCGTAAGCCGGTTAATAATAAAATACACAAAAAGTTGTTAAAGGAATGGTTTATTCTTCTGTGCTCAGTTATCAGTTATTACATGATGACTTATTAATAAAAATTTATTAATAAAACATTTGATAAAAATTCTCTACATAATTGTACTGTTTATGAATTAGTAACAATAACATCAATAATGATACTTATGATAAAAATTTTAATTATCATTTTCCAATTATAGTAATAAGATCAGCACACAAAGTGCTCGTTTGATGGAGTTAAATGGATAAATCTATTAAAGCTGAAAGAATTGTCAGATATAAATAAATATTACTTAAGAAAGAAAAAAATAAAACAAGAAAAAAAACCTCCTAACCTCGCCCACATGCTCATCCCAACCTGACTTAAATCGATAAAAAATTAAAGTTACAGAGGATAAACAACAACAAAGGAAATACTCCCTCCCCACCTTAGCGACTCCACTTTCTACTGCCAGATGAAGCAATGTACTGTCAGTGTTATCAACATGCAAGAGAACATCATCACGTGAAATCCCTTGACCTTTTGCTGCAACGAAAAGTGTTTGAGAATTGAGAAATTGCATTCGCTGAAAAAAGAAGTACTAACATTTTTGATCGATTTTTATCTCCCAATCACAAAGCAGTGACTTTGTGATTAATACGAATACGATTTACTCACAGTAATGGAAGAGGCAGACCATGACGTCATAACAGCCGTGTAAGGCAGCATGCGCAATAGGTGTCATATTCTTATGGTCACGTGCCAGTATCTTAGCATTATATTGCAACTGCAAAACACAGACAAAGCACAAAGGTTATAAAATGAAGATGGGTTCGACTACGCGTCGCGATCGCAAGTTAGGTCATTTCTTTGCTCGCTGTTTGTGATAGGCACATTTCTTGAACTTAAACCTCTGACCGAAAAGAATCGAGTAATTCTAACTCAAAGAAAGGATGTCAAGGTGCAATACTGTACTAAACTTACTCTTAAGTTTCAACGTAAGTAATGGATTTAATCTCGAAATCAGGGTTCACGAGAAAAGTTCCAGTTAAATAAAATGAAAGGTCTCGCCTCTTTGAACTGTTGTTTTTGCAAGGTTCTATCTAACAATTGAAAACATTTCTACCTGCCAAACCATTTATGTATTTTAATGTACATCTCCCGGTGAATCAACCCAGTCACCAAATTTTACTTGACCTTTTTTTAACGACATGCAGTCTCTCACCAGCAGTTTACAGATGGCGACGCTGTTCACGTGATCCAAATGAGCGGCAATGTGTAGCGGGTTGCATCCGGAATTTCCCACAGCATTTGGGTTGGCGTGCCCTTCACGTAGCAACGCCTACATAGTCATGTAACGAAAGAATCTAACATTTAAATTTTCAGCATAGTGTGCGTGGAGAAACGCATTTACCGGCTTTTCGGTGACCTCTGAATCTAAAAACTCATTTCCAAAATTCCACGCGTCAAATTCAAGAAAAGTAAGAATTCTCGCTGGTGGGCCGAAATTTAAGCAAGTGTAGAAAAAAGTCTTAGAAAAAAAAACTATTTGAGCGCTTATGCCAACAGAACTACGAAGCAAGCAAAATTTTGGAGGGTTCTTCTTCCCCGTGGAAAAATCTGATCACAATTTGTAATGAAATGAATTTCATTTGACCTGCGAATCAAAAATCAAGTAAAGCAAAGGTCCTTGGGATCCGGATCAATATCAGTATCTGGGCAACTGCCCACCTACTCCTCCCCTTACCCAACAATAGTCAATTGATAACAAGTTAGGGTTAATGTTGGGTAAGGGGAAGGGTTGGGTGGGCAGTTGCCCAGATACTGATGGTCCTTGCGGGTCAGCGGCAATTTTTAGCAATTTCAGAAGAGAAGCCTGAAATTTAGAAAACGCTCTCAGATGTAGAGCAACTCACCAGTACTATATCAAAGTTTCCCGTCCTTGTTGCAGTGTGTAGCGCTGTGTCATCTCTGTCGTCATGAGCATCCACATCAGGTTTGTAGCGGAGAAGACAATGAACAATATCAAGCTTCTGAGCCCCCACGGCACAATGCAGTGGTGTCTTCCCATACTCATCATGCGCATCTATGTCTGCATAAACATCAACACAAAAAAACGAAGCAAAGACCTCTCTTAATTTATTTCTCGGGTGTTGAGTTCTCCAGACTAGATCAGTTGGTTTTTTATTCAAGAACCAATGCAACATAATAAGCAAATAGAGCATGAAGTGTGTTTTTGCTCTTTGAAATGTTCATTACATAAAAAATACCGATTTAAGCTCCTTTAAGTCTTTTACTGGTTTAGATGGCAATCGTAATTTATAAGAAAATTAGCAGTGAGATGATAATTTATCATGATAGAGCAGGTTAGCAATTGCTCTTGTTATTACTATGATTGATTGCATTTATTAATTCCTGATTCAATAACACTTATTCACTTGACGAAACAAAATGCATCAAAATCAGCTTCCCAGTCAAATTGATGTAACTTCTGCAAACATAAAGTTTACATTCTATAATTGTTTTCGATGGAAATTACATCTAAGGGGAAAGAAGTTGACAAAGAACTTGAAGTTTATCAATTTACAAACAAAGCGTATCTCGACCTTTTGCAAGATTCAACAATGAAAGTAGTCTGCTCCTGAGTCATGTGCATCACTCAGCAGGTAAGGGTATTGCTTCCCCCACCCTTCCCCCCTGGATGGGATTGTAAAATTTTGTCAGGTTCCCCGTACAGTTCGCCGGTACCTTTTTAAGCTCCTCAGTGGAGATAGGCACACTGAAGGTCAAGTGTTTCGTTGAAGATCACATCACAGCGACGTCAACTTCTCGACCCGCAGTCCAATGCGATTGCTTTACCTCGTCTCCGACCTTAACTAGATCCTTTTTTCATCCAAAGCTGGCTCATTACTTTGACAAACCTGTCTCTCGCGATCAAATCGACAGCCCATCCAGATAAGCAATAACTTAGACTACAATTTTTTCAGTTACCTTTTCCGGAGGAGAGAAGTTGCTCTACGTCAGCCTCCTTCCCATTCAATACAGCTTTATGAAGCCCGCCATGATGATCTCGATTGTTAAACCGTAAATTGATTCTTCCCTGCAAAGTTGAAATTTTTTAAAAAAATTTTATTCTGCAGGAACAAGTCATGGGGCGGTTTACGACTGAATGTCGAAAACCAGGGCCGTGTAATCTCAAGATCCAAACGGAACAAAGCAACTGAAATACTAGCAGAAGCTGACCAAAAGTGAAAGTAATCACTCACACTCGCCTGTGTCGTGTGTAAACACGAGTAACAAAAAATCTCGGTTTTGCTTTTGCATATGATTGATAAAGAAGGAGGCCAGAGGAAATCTTTAGTGGTCGTTTTTCATAAAAATGGTAAATTTCTACTACATTATTTATATTTCAAACATGTCTCTGCGTAACCTGTAGTTGGCTCTTGCCAAAAGATACAACGAAAATAACCAAAACAAAGCCGCCGGTTTATCGCGAGAAGTGAGAGAGCGTAGACCTCGCGCGAAATTCGCGATTTGGTAAAAGTCATTTAGACTTCCATTTTAATCTTAATGTCTCAGTCTCCTTCATCCAAATTAGATTGGTTTATTAAATCACCTTTTTAGCCATTAAACGCTTCTTTACAGCAAATCAGCGGGAGATTGCTGAGTACTAAGCGAATATATTCAACCCTTCTGACAGTTCCAAATATAATTATGTAAACGTCAAACACCCAGCTTAATTTTCAACAGCTGCCTCACACCGATGAATAATGGCGAACACAGCTTATCGGTGAGACTTCTTCTATAAGCACCTGTCGCCGTTATTTTGTTATTCTAATTCAGTGTAATCGAAAAGAGCCGGCGAGAAAATACTAGTAAAAGGGACGATGAATTATTTCTGAAGCATCAGCCTTCCCGTGTTTAAAAATTACAGTTACATACGTCAAAATATGCCGCTAAAAATTGAGTCTCCTTGTAATAAACGGATGTAAAGCAATTACAGGAAAAACATATATTTTATATTTTCATCCGCCGCTTTAACGGCAAAGTAGTCTTGGATCATTCCGTTAAAATTTTCTGAAGCTCGTTTTCATCATGTTAAAATCAAATGAATCTTTGAATGATAACTTTTCGTTTTTCCGTTGACATTCCTAGCTACCACAATTAACCGCGTTGTACATCAATTAATTGTGCCATAAGCAAAGGCGGGAAGAAAAATTTCTTTCAAGTCCGTTAGCCTTATTTCTTTTTTATTCTGTTCTCTATATCACTAATCTGAAATCACTTTACAAATAGTGATCATTTCTAGGAGAGTTTCAGCCCTTAAAGAGACAGAGAACGAAAAATCCAAAGTAAACATAGACTAGATTTTCGAATAACTGAAGGGTCCCCAATAAAAATTGCTAACAAATATGCTGGTAACAAAGATATGAAAAAAAAAACCTTAAATTACCCGAAAATGTACAAAGTGAGCCAAAGTCTGCCAGTTTTCTTCCCTCGCGTTTCTCGCATCGTAGCTTGAAGTGCGCGTTCTCGAGCATGTTCCATTTTCTAAATTCAGCATCTTAATTCCTCGTTTTTCACACGTAGTTTATCCCTTATATCCTCGTCTTTTCCTTTCAATTCCGAATCTGAAAATGGTGTTGCTCACTTGAGGAAAGATTGTGTGTGTTTTACGCTGTACGCAGCTTAGACATTTTCTCCCGGCAAGAAGCGTTTTCTTCGGAGAAACCCGTCAAATTTTTTTTGTGCGGAAATTAGGCACGCTCATTTTTCATAAACATGACCAATCGAGAAGAGGCAGATTTTCTTATTTACTTTTCACACATCATATTTGCATCTCTAAACTACTTGCATCGGACGAAAATTAGCATATCAAAATTTCTTTTGACAGAACAGTGGAGCTGAATGAATTTGATATACTAGAAAATAAAGTTTTTGTCTCTAAGCTATTTTGCCATTGAAAGAAAGAAATGTCTTTTGCTGAAGTGTTATACGTGATCTGACCACAGTTAGAGAAAATAGAACCTTAGTTTGAAAAAAGATCACCTCAGTTCCGATAATAAAACATTACCTATGACACTTGCTAGTACAACAGAAATCTCATTGTTGGTAAAAATGGTGGGTAAATAGCAAGCTTTTAGCGGTTTACTTGGAAAAAGAAAAACACCGTCTTTATTGATTTAAGTCGGCCTCAAAGCTTAAAGTCAAATCTGCGATGATCTACCAGAAACAAATTATTATCTGTTCCTGGACTATACTTAATAGAAGCAATAATCCGTGAGCATTTATAGAAGAACTTCAGTTGTTTTTAGTGATCATTCGTCTCTTAGCAAACAAATTAATCTGTCACTTTAGGATTGACTTGTATACCTAAAGCTATTGCAGCAAAAGCAGAGAAATAGTGATTATGTTTATTTAGGATGATAGCACCTCAGTGTTTCAGTGACAGTAAAAATCAGAGCGAAACTGGTTTCAGAAGAGAGTATTTTATCAATTCTCCTTTAAAAAAGTCAGTTGCAAAAGAAATTTATTCTAAAAACTGTTCATTCTCTTTCTCCCTACAACTAAATCCACGCAATAATTTTGTTTCAAATTAAAGAACCAGGTCTTAGAATAATGCAGTGAGCTGTCAAGGCGCATGAAAAGTTCCGTCAACATCTGTCTTCAAATTAAAAGCGCTTTTGCCGGAGCGCCTTGAGCGCCTTTCAATATTAAGATTATATCTCCGTTAAGTAGGCTGTCATCGGAGAAAACCCCAGAATGGAAAGGAAAACGAAATGACTAGAATATAGAATATTGACAAAGTCCCGATAAAATTGTAGAAACTTTTTAAAATATTTTTAAAGATGCGCATGAGGCAAGAGTAATCCTTTCCCCAATTTAATTCCACTTGTTTCCGCTCGAGTTCAGTGATGGCTTACGGACATGTAGCTGTGAAAAACCGAAAAAGGAGAGTTTAATCTCTGTTTCATCCTTGTTTAAGTCTCTATAGGTTTATAATAAAATGTAAAGTTTGCCGTGTGCGCTAAAAAAAGTCATAATTTCACGTCCTCCACGAAACAACAGCATCATTTGACTACATCCACCAAATCATTTTACGTGCATCAATGTAAACTATTGAAAAAGTATTCAAACAGAGGCACATTAAATATGACGTGACTGTATGATAACCGAAAATGATAAAAGATCACGAACTGAATCTAAGCATGATAAAGTACTTTTCAACAATCGAAAATTGACAATATTATCCAAGAAATACTCAGATATTTGATATCAAACGGGTTGTAACAAGTGTATGCTATTAGGTCGCTGATGTTCGCTCAAGGTAGTACACGAGTGTGTGAACTCGGTCAGTTTTCAGCCACACTGATCACGCTCGCAACTTGAAAACATCTGTTTACGTCATTCCTGTTGGTCGGAAGCCGTAAAATGGATGAAACAAAAGAATTACGTTTACCAAACAAAGTCAACGGCCACATAAGGACGTGTCGAAAATTCTAAAACACGAAAGAGGATAAGAAATGAACCAAGATGTTTGGGTATGTGCACAACGATTGCCACGATCGCTTCAACTCCCGCTTGAATTTTATTTGACGACACTTTTCGTTAGTAATTCATCAGCATCAGTTGGTATCATTTGATCAGATAAGTTAACTGATTAGATTTAAACAAGGAATTTGATGAATTAATTTATTTATCTTCATCGTTCTTTTCGTTGTTTGAGAAAAGAGAAAAGGAGAAAAAGAAATATTTCAGCCAATGAAATTGGTTCGCCATGGTCACATGACTCGTGACGTCATAACCTTGCTAGAAATAGCCAAACTGGACCAAGAATGGCAAAATCAAATAAAAAGGAAAAGTTCAAATTCTAAGTCACTTTTTCAACTCCCTTGAAACGGGAACAGCAGAAATCTATAACATTTTTTCAAATAATTACAAAGAAATCTAAAGTTCTTTATTTATAAACTATAAAGAGATTTAAACGATCCTACTTGATATTTGATGAAAGTGCTGCAAAATCCATAGTAGTGTTCCTGAATGAACACTCACACTAAGCATTTCTCCCTTACAGCTAAAACCGTGTCATTGGAGTTTGACTATATGTCGCGTGTTTAAAACAAGTTCAATTTCTAACGATAACGTCATGTAAGATTAATGTTATGCAGACGCGCTTTTCGCTAATGTCGCCAAATAACGTGCAAAATCACCTTTAAAAATATATTTTTCCATTAATTATCAAAAACTTTTCGTAATATCCTCAAAATATTTCAAGGAACTATCGCATTTTTTCTTATGTTTGTTTGAAAAACAAACGAAACTAGAATCTTCTCAATATAAATTTCCACAAAGTACTTCAAGAATCGTCCGCCATTTTGGAAAATTTTCTTTTCGCTTTTGCTGATAAGGAATGTATCATTCAAGCTATAACACTTGTAAACCGGATTATTTCTGGCAGGCAAGTGAATATTGTTTCAAGTGATAGCGTTGAAACAAAGCGCCCAACCAGAAAAGCCATACATATTTCTAAATTTCTCTTAAATACATTATGAAAATTTCGGTAACCTATGAATAATCCAAACGATATCGTTATATCTTTAGCAATAAATTCATGAAACAGTATTTTCACTATGCTAGATTACAATTTTTTTCACTTCCTTGCATTGTTACGACCTTGGTAAATTGAATTTGACCCGCTAAGATTGAAGGGAAAATAGGAAAACCAAACCTGATCTTTTAAAGAGAAATTACGAGCATCAAAAATATTATTACGTAACATTATGAGATGATCTTAACATTTCAACAGAATGGGTAAGTTGCCAAATTTTTTTTTAAAGCAGAGCGGGAGTCGGAGCAATATGTAGAACCCTAAGGAGTTTTATTCATTTTCAATGGCTCTTATGAAATCAAATGAAAACAAAAGAATACAGCTTTATGCCTCTGGAAATAAAAAAAATGATAATTTTATGCCCTGGAAATATATCTTCAAAGCTGTTTCTATGGATCAGCAGTAGATTTAAGTCTTGGATTGGTTTAAAATTTTATTCTTTCAGCAAACAGCACATTACGGTTTGCTTTTCGCGGGAACTGTGCGCACAAATGTAAAGTACTAAGCATATTTTGTGAAGTCACTCCAAGCGTATAACTATATCTTAGGTTTTATTACGAAAATTGTCGCTCAATGAATCTGTAATTGATTTTTCACCGTCACAGTATGCTGCAATTTGTCTCAGTCTGTTTTTGCTTTGATTCAATCCTTAAGAAATGTGTCACTTAACTTTCGCGTTCTAAAAGCGTTGATTCGATCTCATTGAAGAATCTTGACAGTTGAATGCGTTGTTTATGCATTTTGAAGCGCAGATGAAAAATTGTGCATTTGACGTTTCTTATCTCAATAACTACAGTAAGCTTTGCAGCTGACGGCTTTTTGCCGCCTAACGAATAAAAAAAACATTTATGATTCAGCTGTGAAACGGACTTGTTCTTTCTAAGTTGGTGGTAACCTGTACTAAACAATATATTACGTAAAACGAAATGAGATTGATTGTCCATAGATGGTTCAGATGAAATTTCTATGAAAATGGGACAGACTATGTTTCAAGTAGACAATAGAGTCGTTTAAAAATCCACAAGACGCAATTTTTTAAGTTCTCGTTTTTTTTTTTCCTAAGTGCGCTTTAGGTTTAGCACGTAAATTACACGACAGCTAAGACTAAAATGTGTGAACCCACGTTATTGAAAATGCACAGTTTTCCGGATTTTGTCAAATAAAGGCTGTTGTATTGAGTCACTAATCTTTAAAATGGAAATAGCGGAAATTAAGAAGAAAACCCTTGGCAGAAAGTCACTTTTTATAACGGCAATATTATACGATGGAAAGAATATAAGCTAAGTATGAAGGGGGAAATTCACAAAAAATAAATAAATAATATGAAAAGTGCTAAAAAATGATGTGCTGATGTAAGGAATGTGAGAATTAGGGCGCTAACCAGTCTTTCGATTCAAAAAATTTTGTGTTATTACGAAAAGGTTATTGCAGGTGCGCTGATTAAGTGCGCATTCAAAATCAACAGGAATAGATCAGGAATAAAGATGAAAATATGAAATTAGCTCTTAAATAAAATTCATTCTATGTGAAATTTCGAAAGAACCTGAAAGAAATGAGGAGATTTAATGAAATTTTATCAGTCGACCACCACTTAAAATTATAGCTTTCGAGATCACCGTCATGGACTGAGTTTAAACGATTGATTCAGTTCGTTTGTTATGGTTAATCGTACCTTTATCACAGCTAGATTGAACGCGTGTCGAATAAGTTCTGGTGTAGAGAGTCGATTTCCTTCTTCGTTTGTTGATCTTCGACTTCGATTGTTTGAAAAGGCACCAGAGTCGCTATCAGTGTCTGTTTCGTTCTCTGATGCGGGAAAAAAAGATTCGACCCTCAAACCGCTAGACGTCCCCAGGGAAGATTGCATCTTGATTTCAACGCTGCTTGCTCATTTCGCGCGAAGTCTGTGTAGTCTGACAATACTTGAGCGAGTAAAAGCAACGTGTCTTCTCACAAAATAGTCGAACTTCGCTTGCGGAAAGAAAACTGCCGATCAATATCTTCTATCATGGAGTGAATTTCTCCTCACAAAAATGCACTAATTTCGGAAGTATGAATAATGCATATAACCTCATGTGCATTTTGATGTGTTTCAAATCAAGCTCCGCATTGAACAAAGCAATATGTCAAAATTAAACCAGTCGATCAGACTTATAAAATAACAATAATAATAACCATTACGAAAAGGAGTTCAATTAGGCTACCCTTGCTTTATGATACGAATATTTGAAATTGTATTTCTGTATCAGCAAAGTTGATTGACAATAAACTTGAGTTCTATTTGTGATTTACATGTAAATACTAAAAGAAATGAAATTGCCAATAAAAATTTAATCAGTAAATGTTGTGAGTTCACGATTTTATTTATGAATGTGTATCACTTGGATAAGAAAAACTGACATTTACAATAAAACGTAAAACGAGTGAAATAAGCACAAAATATGAAAAATTAGTTAATATCATGAAAGGAGATAATTTGATAAGCAAATGGAAAATTTACCATACGGTGTTTCAATATTTTTAATAAATGAATGTAGAAATCTTTTGCTAGGTACCACTAAAACATGCTAATTGTAACCACACAAAAGATCCAATTTGGATACATGTAAATGTAAGAATTACGGGTAGATGATCTAATTCGTGCATTAATTTATCTGCCATATTTTATTTGCCGAATTTGATGAATTAAATTTTGGTAAGCTATGAAATTACGCTGGATCAAGGGGGAATAACGTATTCCAAATTTACAGTCAAGTTAACGGTTTAGTTTCTGTCAAGTTCTTTATTTTACATGATTCCACGGTTTAGGAATACAAATAAACGAAATAACTTGAAGTTTCTGATATCATCTCGATGCAGTAAATTAGATAAATTAAGTAATATACATGAAACGAATTTGACACAATTTTTGCAGCATCAGTGTAGTGCATTTCACTTTTCTCTCGAAAAGATATCCAGGTGATATTGAAACGAAGTCCAACGGCTCTAACCTTTTTTCTTTAATGTTGGCCAAAACCACACTAAGTCGGTCGTATATTTATTCTAAATAAATACAAATTATACATTCTACTCACAAATACACTTCATAAACAATGAAAGCAATGCAAGTGGCCAGGATATGAACATACACCTACGAACTGTGAAACGACTCAACCATTGAACCGAAATACACCCCAACAGTCAGAAAAACCAAATTTCCAATAGGACCACATGTGTAGCTTAACAGCTTGATTTGGTCAATGTGTGAGCGAATTCTCAAATAACTTGAATTAAAAATGTGAAAAACAACATATGCTGTTTTTAATTTGATCGTTATAGGACTATGTTTCCATCAGTCTCATAACTTTTCATCCTTTTTTACGAGAATGACAAGAGATTAGAACGAACTCTCTAAAATCTGTCAAAAAATGTTTAAATAATTTGACATAGCTAAACTGGAAAAGTCTTGAAACATGACTAAAGGACTCAAATCCTTTCATATTTATCTTTTCTAAGTTATATTCAATCAAAGGTTTTAATTTATTTTTCATTTTTTCATTTATTTTTCATTTAAACGGAAAGAACCTAGTAAATAAAGGGGGGAGGTTTTTGACGAAACTATAGTGCTGCGTCGGTGGGGTAGAATAACGAGATAATTTGGTTTTATCAACGCGTTAGCTCTTCGTCAGAGCGAATGGCTAGTGCTCGAAACGTCAGCTTTGAAACATTATCAACCCAGTCGATGAAACCAAATTATCATTTAAGGAAAACGCGAGGTAGTCGTTGAGCCACCAAGTCGCCCACTTCATCGTTCTTATCCACTTTAGTAAGAGTCTCGTATCTCAATAAGGGACAACCCAGCCTTCACCTCTTTAGGTCCGTAAAGTATATAACATGTAATCAAATTATTCTCTCAATTTGAAAACTTAATCCAGGAACAGACAAACTTATTAGCCACAAGGTATTGTCTTGATATAACACTTAAAATCTCCGAGCTATACTTGAAAAATCACCTCTAACAACTGGAACGGATAACTAAAAATTCTAAGCGAGGAATTTTTGTGGAAGGGTCAAAGAACTCAAAAGACCAGTTGAAATTGATAGAGTTTTTTGGGATCAAATGACAAATCTGAACCGATTGAGAATAATTTATGTGTTTTAATCCTCTACGTATCATTTTAAAATTATAACTTCAAAATATATCAACAAAGGTTCGATCAAGTTGAGTGAATAAGACTTTTGCAAAGACTAGTGAGCGAGGTGATTACCGATCGTCGAAATTACCACGGCGCCAGGCCAACTACGAAACGACTTCTCCATTTCTTCAAGAGTTTTCTAGCTTACTAGTTGTTCACAAATTCCTTAACTTATCACTGACTAATCTGGAAAAAGAAAGGTTAAGCTGCAATACTTTGTAACATGGTTGTATTTGTTTTTCCGGCGAGCCCGAATCCATTTGAGCCGTTAAAACTCAAGGCACGATTTTGGGAAGTTCTCATCATGTGATTTGAAGAACAAAGAACGACGGCAGTCTTAGTCACTGTGGTTTCTTAAGAAAGCTTTTGCGCTTTGGTCTTTATATGATTTTTTTTTCAAGTTAACCTGTGATTATCGGGTTGGAGACAATCATCATCTTTAAAAGGTCACTTGTGCGAGAAAGTTCCGAAAAAAACAATAAATCAAGACTCGAAAAGCAGCGGACGAGTCTAAGAGACGAGATTTTTAAACTGTGAAATTTAAAAATGTCTTGTGGTGAGACTGCAAATTTTTTTCTGGTCAAACCATTCCCTTTCCTTTGTAAAGGAACTCTCCTTGAAAGAAATCCTGATATTAAATCAAACAACCCTTGCTTTTGCAAAATTTTTCCAGCTTTCCCTTGATTATGAGATTCTTTTCAAATTCATATTGGTCATTATGTAAAGGATCTTTCTATCTTGTCTCCTCACAGCGTGTATTAAAAGAACGAAATGATGTAAGTACATGTATGCATGTCGCAACCAACAAAGCATTTGCATGTTAAAGGAATTTTTACTGAATATTGGTTAACTTTCCTTCTTTCAAGTAAAAATTTAATTCATAGCGTAAGCAAACCTCTCTGTGTAGGCCAACGTTGTTTGAATCTTCGCTACATTCGCGTTTCCTTCCAGTTTCCGGGGCACATTCTCGATAAACCGCTTTTACACTAACAAATTAGCGCAAATGTAATGGATACTATTTTTGGTTTTTGAGCCGCTGTTTATAAATTTGTTAAATATTTCTTTGATCGCATAAAGCTTTTTTTCAATGAGTAGCTTTTTAAAAAAAATTGCACGGAAAGCTGCATTGTTTTTAAGTTCAAATACAGCCGTTGAGGTCTGTCTGCCCTTTCTTTACACAGCTTAGGAAGCTTCTTCTTGCAAAAACAGATAAATCTACATGTTTCAGTTATAATTTTAATGTATTTCCACCGAAACCGCTGAGGCCAGTTTTAATTATGGCCTCATCGTAGCTCTCTAAAACCCTCCTGCTTCAATTGCCAGGTTCCGTCCTTTTCGCCGCGGAGGTGTTTCCTCTTGTCATTAAGCTAGTTGTAATGGCCACGAAACCAAAAATTGTCGAAGATCTGTTCACGCGTATGATCATGAAAATGGCTTAGGCTGAATTTTGATCCAGAAGCCTTGCGGCAAGAGAAAACATAATGCGATGTTTATGATTTTTGGAAAAACACATGAAACAATTTTTTTATGGTGTAGTATTGCGATCATGACGTGACCGTTCACTGCGAATTTTCATTCACAAAGGGTTTAAAAAAAGAGGCAACTTAGGCACATTGAGCCTCATACGTAACATGTAGCTGAAATAATATTCACACAAATTAATTTATTTCACTACTTAAATGAGCATTTTGCAGAGCAAGCTCAGAGAAAAAAAAACACAAAGCACTCAACGAAAATGATAAATGAAGATAAATCCGCTTCCTGACAAATCTCTGATTGGAATGAACGTCAGAGAGTAGTCTTGCAACAATTAAAATGCGTGCTTCTCCGTCTGTAGAGTTCTTCATATTGATTTTTCAAAAAGTAGTTATATAATAAGTGAATTTCTCACCAATGTTGCTAAGCTTGGAAGACGGCAGTTGGAGCCCCTTCGTCTGCCGACCTCCATCGGCGGGCTAGCTTCTGGAGATTCGCCTTTTCCTTCCATATCTCGGCCAATATTTGCGGAACTCTCCGGTGTAAGCAACATCATAGGGCTTTCCATTTTCCAAATCTAAGCTATCTTTTTGTTGGTTCTCTTGCACCTTTACATAACAAAACTAATTTTGCAGATGATTATTCGGAATCAAGTTTCGATATTTTCCCATAAAAACTAAGAACACACCAGTGAAGGCGAGCGGACGAATTTCGTTCTGACCAATTTCGACTTCGTGTGGTCGTTAATTTTCAAAGTACAAATACTGCGACAGTAGGACAATAGAGCAATGCAAATTTTGCGGGTCCGTTGTTAGAAAATCGTGTCAGTCCGCCCTTACCTTGAATTAATGACTAGTCAAAAGAAATCAATTCAAATAGATTCATACAACTCGCTTAAAAGCTAACCTTAAATTGAAAAAACGTGGATTTTCATCGATTTAAGCACCATTCCTATTTCTTGCGTATGATGTGCCGACAGATGCCTTTCACAACTCCAAAGTGAGAGCGAAATATAAGATCATCAAAAGTTGTGCTAAACCCAGAGTTTCGATTATAACTTCTATGATTTAACTGCCTGAACTAAGCTATGAAAAAAAAAAAACAAGACGAGACATTATCATAAAGTTAATGGCATTCAGTTAAACCAAACAGGTGCATGCTGACAATGAATCTATATATGAACAACACAACCGAAACATTTGATAGGCTCACTAAACGCAATTACATTTCCAAACTGCAAACCCGGATTCGGTATTTGCGGTGTAAGAGCTGAACATACGTGTGCGGAAGTTTTGTTGTATTTTATTTATTTACACCTTACGCATAGTAAATATATTTCTATGTCGCTTTATAAACATGAAGCCCAA